TTTTCAATTAAATAAAAATATATATTTATATATAATATTGTTATAATGAAAAATAAGTAGCAATAGAGGCAAGAATATTTGGTTTAAGTACAAGTAATAGAAGTAAGAGATCTTAAAGGTGGAGATAAGACTGGAGCTTGTGATCCTTTTGTTAAGATTTCTGTAGGTAATTTGCCTCCCTAAGTAACTACAACTAGAAAAGCTGCAAATACTGCTGTATTTAACCAATCATTTACATTCACTGGATTATTAATGAATTCAATAGAATTTGAAAGTTTTGAGATAAAAATTGAAGTGTACGATTTAAAACAATTTGGATAAAATTAACTTATTGGTATATACTCAGTTGGAATTTCAACTCTCTATAGAAATCCTGCTCATGAAATCTTTAATACTTGGTTACCTTTAGTTCATCCTAAACAAGGATTAGAACCATAAGGATTTTTATTGGCATCTGCATATGTTATATCACCTACTGATCGTCCACCTGTTCATGATATGAACGAAAATAATGTAGAAGAAGAACCTGATGAATTTGGTGGTGTTCCAGATGATTAATTGAATCCAGAATAATTATAAGCAAGAATAGAGAGAAAGAATAGAATTGCTGTTGTTTCTAAACCTGAAATTAGAGGAAAATCATATTAATTAATGGTTAATATTGCAAAAGCAGAAGATTTAGCATTAATGGGTTATCCTACTCTCGATAGTTTTATATCTGTAAGAGCAGGAGGAACAGCATAAATAACATCTGTAATGAAAAACTAATAGAAACCCTAATATTTATCTAGATTGATGTTCCCTTTACATTTTCCATTTTTTAATGATAAAATAGTTGTAAGAGTTTGGGATAGAAGAACTATGGCAACAGATACTTTTATTGCTATGATTCCAGAAGTTCCAACAGAAAACGATTATTTTAATATCAATTTTTTATAGAGTAAAGGAGGAACTATGCCATTTAGATGGTTTAATTTATATGGAATTCCTTAAGATGAAAGACCAGGTGGATTTCAATAGGCATTTTTGGGTTATAAAAAAAGTATTATTGGTACTGATTTCATGGGTAGAGTCTTGATGTCAATAAATCTTACATAAAGTGAAAAACCTGAATTAATGGTAGTGCCATTAACAACTTAAAGAGAACCTCCTATAGATAAATATTTATTAAGATTTGATACATACGAGATTTAGGAAGCTAAAGATTGTGGAGAGAAGATTGTAGTAAAATTCAAAGTTGGTGGATAAGTCTTTAAATCAAATGAAGCTTATATAAAGACAGAGAAGAAAAGCAAATATAAGTAGAAGGCTTAGAGTGAAAATAAAGAGATTTAAGGAATTACTTATACTTGGGGGAAATAAATTTAAACAAAAGATGAAAAATTGGATTTACCTGCAGATCCACAATAAATACCAGATTTAATTGTATCATTACATAATGAAAAAGGGAAAAGAGTTGCATATTTGAGAATTCCATATTCAGACAAAGATTTAGAAATAAATAGACCTAAATGGTATACATTCAAAAGTGTGAAATAAACAGATAATAATGATATTCCTCACAGTTTTTTTTTAGTTAATATAATATTTCGAAATGAAAGCACGGTGTTTAAAATTCCTAAAATTATAGTTAAAAGAGATTAATAAGTATATTATCATTTATATGCATAATTTTATGCTGGATATGATTTATGTCCAGATCTATATTCAGAAGAAGTTGAAGCAACTTTTGTAATGAAAATAGGTGGTCAATATTTAGAATTAGATAAACCATAATCAGGAAAGAATCCAATATGGAATAAGGCATTTGAGAAAATTGTGAAAATAGATTAAAATCTTGAGTTTGCAAGTAATATTATAATAACATTTACAAATAAAAAGAAAACTAGTTCATGGTTTAGTAATGATCATATTGGAGATATATGTATTCCTGCTCTTGTTTGTAAATATGAAGGTGAACCAATCTTTGCATTTCATCATATAGTTAATTAAGGTTAATCAGCTGGAAGAATTTTGGCAGCATTTAAATTAAAAGAATTGGGAAAGAATAAAGAATCCTTTTAAGAAAAACCAACTCCTATTATTCCTTAAGAAGGATTCATATAAAAATGGGCTTAATTCCCTGTTTTTGGAGTGAGAAATTTAAAATAGAAAATGAAAGATCCAAAATTAATAGTTTAAGTTCCAGTTCCATTTAATATGGTTGATCCAAGTGTTGAGAATTCAACTTATTATAATCGTGAACCTTGTGAAATTATTTAAGCTTAAAAAGATTTATTAGAAAATGATAAGAGTTGGTTTGGAGGTGGAATATAAGATCCAGTCTTTTTAAAATTAGTAAATTTAAAAGTTTATTTGCCAGAAGATATTAAATTCTATCCACAATTAGAAATTTAATTATCTGATTCATTTAATAAAAATGAAAGATATATATGTTCAATTCCTTTGATTGAAGTTGCTTAGACAAGAGATTAACTTTTAATTGATGAAGCTAGGAATTTTTTTGAATAAGGAAAACATTTTGATGATATATAATTAAATGCAGGTAAAAATGAGGATCTGTAGGAAGAAAATGATAATGTTGTTGTAAATAATGATGTAGCATCATAAAAATAATTAGATTAAAAAGATACTGTTATGCCAAAAGAAACTCAGCCTAAAGAAACTATTAAATAAAGTGTTGCACCTGAAAAAATGAGTTAATAAAAGTAGAGTAATTAATCAGGTAAATCACAAAAATATTCAACAATGTCAAAATTAAATGTAATGGCAGAAAGACCAGATTTAAAAATAAAATCTAGTTTAAAGAATAAGGGAATTTAGAATGTTGAAGTTACTGAGATGACTCATCTTACTTTAGAATTAGATGATATCATAGAAAAAAAGAAGGAGAATAAAGAAAAAGAAAAGAAGTTATTAGGAATGATTAAAACTTATAAAGTAAAATATAAAAAATTTGATTAATTGAAATTATTGATCAAAAGAGAAGTTGAAAAACTCAAAGGAGTCGAAATTAAAGAAACCAATTATTTTAAAGGAACTAATGAAGTAGATGAAGATGAAGGTTATGATTATGGTAGAGAAGTTTTAAAGGGTCCTTATGAAGAAAAATTAGCTCCAAAGATTCCCTTTAGAAGATTTGCTTTATATAGATTATCTTCAACTAAATATGGATTAATTGGAAATCCAACTGATGCTGTTATCAAAGGAGATATTAGAATTTCAGATTATGGTGGAACTGTTATTGATAATTAGAAGTAAACTAAAAAATCGAAGATGTCAAAGACTTCAAAAAAGAAATCATCTGTAAAGGATGTTCCAGATAAACCAGATGATTATTCATTTAATTTATTTGATGAAGGATTTCTATAATTCTTCAATTAGCCTTATAGATTAAAAGTTAGATTATATATATTAAGATGTCTTAATTTAGCAGCATAAAAATAAGATATAGATGCTTATCATAAAATGGCTGGACTTTCAGCTGTATGTTCAGCAGATTCTTATCCAGAAATATTTATAGGGGAAAGTGGACATGATAATCAAGATTTGATTAAACATATTACTGATTAGGATAGACCAATTGAAAATACATTAAGTCCTAACTTTTTTAGAATGTATGAATTAGATGCAGAATTACCTACCGATTGGAAAATGAAATTACATATTAAAAGTAAAGGAATGTTTGATTCTGTTATTGGTAGTATCCAAATTGATATTGAAGATAGAGTTGTTGGTGAAGAAAAATTAAAATAAAGAATAGCTTATACTGTCTTTAAAGAAAGGTTTGAAACTGAAAAAGAAGCTTTAAAATATGATGATAGTCAAAATGCTGAAAGACGTAAAGGTTATCTTTCAGGATAAATTACAGATTTATAATAAAGAATTGAAAATTTTGATAAGAAATTTAAGGTTCCTGTTGAGTATAAGGATTTAAAAATAGATGGAAGACAACAAGCATCTTAAGGAACTGTTGAGATGTTTCTAGAAGTCTTACCTATTGATATTGCAAGGGATATTGAACCTGCACCATTATAAGCACCATTACCATAAGAATATGAGGTAAGATTAATCATTTGGGAGACTTTTGAAATTCCAAAGGTAGCTACTAAAAAAGTTGTTGATATAATGGTAACTGTAGCTATGGATGCTTCTGCTACAGGTAAAGATGCTGAAGTATCCAAAGAAACTGATGTACATAATGGTAGTGAAAATGGTGATGGATCTTTCTCTTATCGTATGAGATTTCCTCTTGTTATTCCATGTCCATTTCCAAGATTAAAGATGACCGTTTATGATTTTTCCCCTTTTGGTTCAAATGAATCTCTTGGAGAAGCAACTATGTCATTAAAACCGTAATGAATTATGTTTTATCTCTAGAATTATTAAAAGACTTTCCAGGGATGGTAAATATGAAATGCCTCCTACCAAAATTAAACTATCTCATCCTAATTATCCAGGATAAAATAGAGGCTAAGTGCTTATTCAAATGAAAATTCTTACAAAACAATAAGCTGATGGTTAACCGGTGGGAGATGGATAAGATGAGCCAAATGAAGATCCATACTTAGTTAAACCAACTGAGGGAAGAGGGTTGGCAGATTTTTTCAAAGGAGCAGGCTTTGGTATGGGCAATTTTATGCTTTATGTCAAAATCTTTGCTGGAATATTTATCACTGTTGTGGTTGTGATGATTTTATTCATTAAACCAGGCATTTTGGTTAATTGATAAAATATTTAGTATGTATAATTATTATTACTTTTAATTAAAAAAATATTTCATTCTGTCAAACTTTAAATTAGAATTATCATACCTTTATTTCAATTATATAAAAACAAGAATACAAAACCATGATGTATAACAAGCAAAGTTTAAATTTTTAAGAAAGGTGAAAATGAAATCAAAAGAATCTCAAATGGCTCTCATAACTCATTAAAGTCTCATAATTCAATATAAAGAAGATAATTCAAATTTTAATTATATGAATATTATAATGATTTCATTATCTAGATCTCAAATTTTGTCCTCTCAAAGAATTTCCTGAATTGGCTAATTATGCAAATGATAATGGGGTTGTTAAACATTCTTAAGATGATTTGAATTTATGCATGTTTCCAGTGAAGTTCTCACCATCATAAACTGTCAAACCCAATCCATCAGGTATATATATTGATCTAATTTAAGCCTTGAATTCCCTAAAATATTTATTATAAAATACTCAATTTCACTTAAACTGTTACAAGCTTCTAAAGCTTCTCCCTTGAAGTTACATTAAGAATAAATAATTATGCAATTTCCTTAAACTAATTGTTTACTAGTGGTAGAATCTACTGCTTTAAGATCTTTTTATAAATCTTTATAATTACCATCTTGCTTTTATTAATTCTAGTCGCCTTAATTGCCATGGTCATCTCCTTATCCTTACCCATTAGAATCACCATTATCTTATCCTTATCCTTAGCCATTAGCATCGCCATCAACTTATCCTTATTCATCAACTTATCCTTATTCATCTCCTTATCCTTATCCTTATTCATCACCTTATCCTTATCCTTATTCATCACCTTATCCTTATCCTTATTCATCTCCTTATCCTTATCCTTATTCATCTCCTTATCCTTATTCATCACCTTATCCTTATTCATCTCCTTATCCTTATCCTTATCCTTGTCCTTGTCCTTGTCCTTGTCCTTGTCCTTGTCCTTGTCCTTGTCCTTGTCCTTGTCCTTGTCCTTGTCCTTGTCCTTGTCCTTGTCCTTAACCATTAGCATCTTCATCACCTTATCCTTATCCAGTTGCATCTCCTTATCCTTATCCATGTCCAAATCCTGTAGCATCTCCTTATCCTTATCCTTATCCTTATCCATCATCTTATCGTTGTCCATCATCTTATCCTTATCCATCTCCTTATCCTTATCCATCATCTTATCCTTATCCAGTAGCATTTTCTTGCCCTTGTCCAGTAGAGCTGCCATCTTCTTATGCACTAGCATTGCCATCCCCTTATCCTGGAGTACTGCCATCACCTTAAACTGTAGCATCTCCATTGCCTTATCCTGTTGCATTTTAGTCTCCTTAATATGAATTATTATTTATACCTGTTTGCTGTTATCCTTATTCTTCTTCTGGTTTTTCCTCTCCTTAGCCTGAATCCTAATCTTGATCTTCATCATTTTTAGTGTCTGGAATCTTTTTAACATTTGATTTATCAACACTAACTTCACTTTAAGCAAAACCATTTTCCATATCTGAAGATGATTATAAATTATCTGTATTTGTAAGAACTTCAAATGCCATATTTGGATCAACTTCATTTTAACTTAAAGTGTTTGAAATATTAGTCTCAGTAGTAAATCCAACATTTGATTCTAAAATATTTTAAACATCAATTTGATTATCTTATGGTATTGCAAGATTATTTGGATCAATATAATTTGGATCAACTTGAGTTATTTCATTTGATTCTGCAATAAAATTAGTGTTTTGAATTTCATTGACAACCTCTGAATTAACATCTGCTAAATTAGAAACTTCATTGCTTTCTGTAGCTAATGCTTCTTCCACAATTTATTAGGTTGGTTCAACAGCATTAATATCATTTGGATCATTAATGCTATACATAGAGTCTTATTCAGGCATAGAGTTTTCTAAATTGTCATTCATAACCATAGAATCCTCTGTATACATTGAATTAGGGTCAACATTCATACTATTAATTTCAGGTTAATCTTAATTCATGGGAGCTTCAAGATTGCTACTTTCAATAGATTCTTATTCAGGTGTTGAGTAATCCATACTATCAGTTCCAATTGAATCCATGCTACTTGAAGANCTTATCCTTATTCATCACCTTATCCTTATCCTTATTCATCACCTTATCCTTATCCTTATTCATCTCCTTATCCTTATCCTTATTCATCTCCTTATCCTTATTCATCACCTTATCCTTATTCATCTCCTTATCCTTATCCTTATCCTTGTCCTTGTCCTTGTCCTTGTCCTTGTCCTTGTCCTTGTCCTTGTCCTTGTCCTTGTCCTTGTCCTTGTCCTTGTCCTTGTCCTTGTCCTTAACCATTAGCATCTTCATCACCTTATCCTTATCCAGTTGCATCTCCTTATCCTTATCCATGTCCAAATCCTGTAGCATCTCCTTATCCTTATCCTTATCCTTATCCATCATCTTATCGTTGTCCATCATCTTATCCTTATCCATCTCCTTATCCTTATCCATCATCTTATCCTTATCCAGTAGCATTTTCTTGCCCTTGTCCAGTAGAGCTGCCATCTTCTTATGCACTAGCATTGCCATCCCCTTATCCTGGAGTACTGCCATCACCTTAAACTGTAGCATCTCCATTGCCTTATCCTGTTGCATTTTAGTCTCCTTAATATGAATTATTATTTATACCTGTTTGCTGTTATCCTTATTCTTCTTCTGGTTTTTCCTCTCCTTAGCCTGAATCCTAATCTTGATCTTCATCATTTTTAGTGTCTGGAATCTTTTTAACATTTGATTTATCAACACTAACTTCACTTTAAGCAAAACCATTTTCCATATCTGAAGATGATTATAAATTATCTGTATTTGTAAGAACTTCAAATGCCATATTTGGATCAACTTCATTTTAACTTAAAGTGTTTGAAATATTAGTCTCAGTAGTAAATCCAACATTTGATTCTAAAATATTTTAAACATCAATTTGATTATCTTATGGTATTGCAAGATTATTTGGATCAATATAATTTGGATCAACTTGAGTTATTTCATTTGATTCTGCAATAAAATTAGTGTTTTGAATTTCATTGACAACCTCTGAATTAACATCTGCTAAATTAGAAACTTCATTGCTTTCTGTAGCTAATGCTTCTTCCACAATTTATTAGGTTGGTTCAACAGCATTAATATCATTTGGATCATTAATGCTATACATAGAGTCTTATTCAGGCATAGAGTTTTCTAAATTGTCATTCATAACCATAGAATCCTCTGTATACATTGAATTAGGGTCAACATTCATACTATTAATTTCAGGTTAATCTTAATTCATGGGAGCTTCAAGATTGCTACTTTCAATAGATTCTTATTCAGGTGTTGAGTAATCCATACTATCAGTTCCAATTGAATCCATGCTACTTGAAGATAAATCTTATTAATTCATGATCATTGAATTCATGCTATCAATGTCTTCAGACACTTGTAAGGAGTTGTCTTCCTAAATCAAATTGCCATCCAAATCATAATGAGTTACTACTGCCTCAGGTGTTTGGGCAAAAGGTGTTGTGATCAAACATACAAAAAGTAAGTACTTAATCATCAAAACGGATTAAAAATATTATATTATTCAAGATCAAATTTGGATAAATATTATTTGTTTTATGTATTTTTTTAAAGCCAATCGTTTCTCTAAGCTCAACACAAGTATTATTTAATCAAATTTTATACTGAATATATAAACTACATAAAAAGTTTATCTAAAATTGCAACATAAATACCTTCATTTTGATGTTGATTTATAAATATTTTTATTTAAAATCTAAATGAATTTGATAATCAAATTCATTAGATGCAAAATCTTAAAAAAAAACTAAATTTTATTTTTGTAGGATTGATAAGTTTAAATAAACTATGCATAATTAATAATATAAAAAACCTAACTGTTTAATTGTAAACTTTTATCTCTAAAATATAAATAAGCATATACTTTTTGAATTCTGGTATTTTTATTAATAGTTATACACATTTCAATTTATTCATTATTTAAAAATAAGAATCAAAAAAATTATCATATGATTTCTTATTATTTTTATTTTAAAGAGTAGCTGTCATAACTTGTGATAGGAGTTGATAGATTAATAATTTATTAATAAAATTGTAGAATATTGAGATTTTATAAAATTTATTAGTATACTTTGATTGACAAAGTTTTTACATTAATAATAATCTATATGTCAATTCATTTAGAATAATTTATTTATATAGTCTTATTTTCTATAAATCTAAAAATATATTTACTATTCTAAATAACCCTTTTTTTGATATTTTTGTAAATCTAAATTGTATAATTATTCTAATTTTAATGTATTTTTAACAATGAGTTATTTAAACAATATTATGATTGTGAATCAGATATATATTTCATAATAATTAATGAGAAATATAATGATTGCTTTTAATAGATTATTATTAATTATCATATAAAGGCTCGTTTATCCCCTCCTCTTACTCTAAGTTTTTTCGAGAACGCGGATGGTAATTCATATTTACCAGGGCCTGGTGTTGTACTAGTTGATCGAAAGGGATCTTTTTTTTCACCTATCCCTTAAGTGATGTCCTAATCAATAAAATTTGACTTTTTACTTTAAATCGAGAAGGCGAGGTAAGTTTTGTTGTAGGAGAATAAGCTTCAGGACCTGGAACTCCATTTTCTGGATTATCATTCATCATTTTGCCTTTCCCTTTCAATAAAAATTTATATTTATGTTAACCTAAATCTTTTCTAACTTTATATTCTCCAGGTCCTCTTATTAAGTATGAATAATTACCAGGTAAAAATTTGGCAAATTCTGGAGCTTAGTTCTTATTATAAGGCAGATATGTTTTAGAGTATAATTCCCATGGTCCTCCGAAAGACCTTTTTAATTTATCCTTTCCAGGGATTTCTCTTACATCATATCTATCTGGACTTGGCATTTCTTTAGCATTTGTTTCTTACCATGTCCATTAAAAATTTTCTATTCTTCCCCCAAATCCTTAAGAAGTTGTTTTATTTCCTAATTGACTTGGAAGTTCTAAAATTTAAATATTATATTCTGATTAAGAATTGAATCTATGAGCTCTTGGAAAGGAAAATTAGAGAGCTGTATGTCTTAAAGTTGATGAAGAAATGTTGGAACTTAATCCTTATTAATTTACAAAAAGTTTGTTAGTACTAAAAAACCCTTAAGAACTTGACATTGTATCTCTCATATCAAGTGACCCACTACTTCTAAATCTCCTTTTTAAATAGTTGGTATTCTCCATATTCACTTGTTTTTAATTTAATAATCAAATAAAAAAATTATTTTACAAAATAAATATCATTATTCAATACTTAAAGTAAATTCAAACTCAATATAAGTAATAAATAATAAGGTTATATAATAATATTTCTTTCTATTATAATTAAATTTCATGATCAACTTTTTTCTATATAAAATTATGATATTTTTATAGAATAATCAATTAATTAATGATTAATTATTAGATATTTAAATCAAATTTTAAATGTATACAATTCTAGTATTTCTGTTTTGATAATATATTCCAATTAATAAATAAAATATTATGTATTGTTATAAATTTTTTACTTTATTTTAATCATTTTAAAATATGTAACTTTTTAATTCTAACATAATACTCTTATTTTTATAATGATTTTCTTAAACCATTTATAATTTGAATGAATCGAATATGAATATATAAAATTGAATATAATACAATCGATGATTCCAATATTTTATTGGAAGTTTCTTATTTTTTTTAACTAATTTTCAATAGCATCTTAAGCTGTATCGTCAAAATTTATTTAAAACTAATTACTTTAAGAGAACTTAACAACTTAATTCAACATTTCTTTTATGAAACTCTTAAGATATAAAATTTATATAGTCAATCAGTTTATTATATGTGTTCATCAATTAAATATTATTAAGTTATAGTTTATAGAAACAAAACTTAATATTACCTAATCCAAAAATTTTAAGAAGATGAAAAATCGAGAAAAAATAAATTCAATTTTCCAATCTTATTGCTTCTTCAAAATATGATATTTAATTTATTAATATGCCAAATATATTGGAAAGCTTTAGTAAGGGTTTGTTGAAATTGAAAAATGAATTTATGTATCAATTAGACATTTTCGGTCAACTTCCAAGCTTTACAGTACTTAATAGAAACAAATATACATCTAACTTAGGATTTATAATGTCAATTTTATTAGGAACACTAATTGCATATTATTTGATTATTGAAATCCAATAAATGCTTTCAAAATCAAAGCCATCGATATATTAAACAGAAATCTAAGTTATAGAGACAAATGTAAAGTTAATTATTTTTTTTAGTCTTATTATCTCAATAATGAAAATTTTACTTTAGCAATAACAATAGCCAACCGTTTTTCAGAACCTTTGATAGGAATAAATAGATACTTTAATTTAAACGTGAGTCAATGTACTAGAGAACGAGTAAAAAATTAATCAACAGGAAATATAACAGTGAACCTGAAGTATAACTTAATGGTATTTAGATGTGATGAAATGCCCTTAGAGCCATGTAATATGTCACATTTTACAACAGATCTTTAAAGAGAATACTTTAAGACTATAAGATTTGGAGCAGTTTAGTGTATTAATAGAGATTATTAATAGAAAAATCCTCCGGTATTAATATATTTTATAATTAATTAATTAGGTTTTAAAGGGTTAATTTAATGCATTAGAATTCAAATATTTATATATATAATTCACAGTTTGCAAGAATACTAGCACTTATCAAGGTTGTGCACCAAAAGAAGAGATAGAGGATATCTTATAAGCAGGGCATTATAATGTCTATAAAAGCGATTATATATCCTAACTTGATAATCCTAGTGAACCATATAAATAAATTATCACAAATGAATTCACAGGTTTTTCTCATAGTACATCCAAAACAATTGTGTAACAGTATAGAATTTTATAAACTACAACAGATGATGGGTTAATATGGGATGTTGAAAATATTTAATAAAATATTTAATAAACAGATTGGAGAGAAATATCAGACTTTTATAATTAACAATATTTAGTTCTCCATATTATTAAGTTAGAATTCAAATAGACTAATAATATTAGAACTTATATTAAATTGTAAACAGTTTTAGGAAAACTTGGAGGGATATTGTAAATTTTTATTATGGTTGTTACTATACTATCTAAACCTATTATTGACAATTTAATGAAGTTAGAAATAGCAAATTCTCTCTACAGATTTTATGGAGAATCAGAAAAATAAAGTTAACGTTTTACTTAAGTTTAAATTAATTAGACTGAAAGAGAATTTTAATCTGCAAATAATAATTCGAAAGGTTTAAATAGTGATATAAATTAAAAGTTAAATCAATCTATGTTTGAGACATTTTTAATAATATTTGGGTTTTAAAAAGAGAAACATTAATAATTTATGAAAGCAAGAAAAAAAATCATAAAAAATTTAGATATAGTAACAATCCTTAAAAAATTATAAGAGATAGATATGTTAAAGAAGATTTTATTTTCTAAAGAGTAGATAGAAATAATAAAGAATCTACCACGGCCTTTGATTGATTAGAAATCATTAATTTCTTAAAAACTTTTAGATTGTGAAATAGATAAAGAGAAAGATAATCAATCTAATATTTAATCACCACTTTAAAGTTAATAAATAAGACTGAGTAAACCTCATTTTTTTTCAAGAATGAATTCAGTTTTTTCAAGAGGTTAAATTGATAATTAATTACAATAATATATAGATAATTGCAATGTAATTTGATATATAAATTAATAGGATTCTTAAAAAAATAAAGGAAAATTTTAAAATAGTTTATTGAAAAGTCCTTCCTCACCTTTATCAAATAGTCAATTAATTAAATCTGATGAGATCGAAGAACCTTCTCAATTGAAACCAAAATAATGAATTAACTTATATATATGAATTTTTTTAAAATAGATTATTAATAAAATAGTCTTATAATCATCCAGAGAAATTTAATATAAGATAGTCTTTTTTTAGGTTCCCTTTTACGATTAATCACTGGAACTTTCAATTATAATTCTTCACCAGGAATTAAATGTTAAAAATGGATATTTTTACTTTCATAATCATCATCAATTCATTTTTAACCATATCTTAACTGAGTTTAGAAGGTTATTAGGTATAAATTAATGTTCTTTTTGTATTGGATGTAGTTAATTATAATTTAGAATTCATATTATTTAATGCATTCAATCCACTTTATTATTGTTAAATAATTGTCATTATTACATCCATTTCACTCATTTCTCTTAATTCAATAATAGTTCTTAAACTTGATAGTGGTTTTTTTCTTTTTCTTTCCACTTTTAAAGATTTAATTTTACTTTTTACATTCACAAACCAATGATGTTTAGTTGCTTCTTTTATTGTCAATCTTTTATCTCATATTATAAAAAACTTACTTGCATCAATATCTAACATTTTTCTTAATAAATCCAATTATGAAGTCCTCACTTTACTTTTTTATTGATTTTATTAAAAACCAACTTTTAATTATTATTCACTTTCATCAATACGATTTTTTTAAATCTCAAAATTGTCCATAACAGCATAAAAATCTTTATCTTCATTTTTTAATCTAAAAAAGTTTATTTTGTTTATAATACTTCATATTTTTTTGAATCATAATAAGTCATAAAATATAATACACATCCTAATGCATATATATCAGTAGATATATTTGGTGCAATTCCTTCAAAAAATTCAGGAGCTAAAAAAGACTCTACTGCTCTATTTAAAATCCAATCTAATTTGTCATTGACCTTGTATTCTTTGAATGACAAATTTATAAGTGTTATTTATAACATTTAATGTTAAGTATTGATTAATATATTCTATGGATTAATGCTACCATGATAAAATTAATGATAATTGAGAAATTTAACAACTTAAAGTATTTAATATATAATCTAATATTAATATTCAAAATATTACAGATGCTATTTATACTTCATGTATTTAGAGATTAGAATTTAATAAATTAAAGAGAGTCTCTCCTTTATAATATTCATATACTATAAAAAGATGCTTATTATTCTCATATACACTTTTTAATTCAAGTAAAGATTAATGTTTAATACTTCTCAATATTTATAATTCATTATAAACAGCATCTTCCAATTCTTAACATTATTCGAAATCATCACTTTTATATATCTAAACAGTATATTAAGTTTTCTTATTTTTCTTTGTGTATGTATAAAATCCAGGTAGCAATTTATCACCCAATTTAAATATCTAAAAAACCTGTAAGTTTACAAAATTATTTCATTTTTTTATACTAAGTACGGAAGGTTACAAAATTGGAAAAGAATAAATAAGTAGTGCCTATTGAATTTGTTAAGAGCATTCCAAAAGCTTATTATGATCTGTGTTAGATCATTTTTTAAGTGATTGTACACTCTGATAATGATAAATAATAGGTAGCTCCACTTTGATTAAATTGAGATTGTGGTATTTATAACAGAGTGTTTTTAATAGTTACCTTTATTAATGAATTTGGCATTAATATAAATTTACTAGATTCTAATGTTCAATTCCAAAATGTATAAAGTTATGGATTCAAAATTTCATCTGATTCTTTTAATTACCCAAATTGTTCTTACTTAAGTATATGCATATGTTAAGATTCAAAATCCTCTTGTGAAAATTCATTAGGATATTTGAGAATCCAATTCAAGTTTTCTTCATTTACATTTTATCTTCGACTCATTAGAAAATTTAATATAAATTTGTTTATAGTTTTCATTATTGTATTTTCAATCATCATCAGAATCCTAATTATCTTTCATGTATCTATCAATGAGTTTTTGATATTCTTCTCTTGGAATTGAAGACTCTGAAGAATATGATTCTTGTTATTATTCAATCATTGGATATTACTCTTATTGAAATACATTAGGTTTATTAAAGGATCTCCCATTTAAACTAGTAATAACCGAATCAATTTCTTCCTCTTTTTAAGAAAATTATAACTATTGTGAAAGCATTTCTCTTTATTGAGGAGTCTACATAACACTTGATCCAAATTATTCAGCAGATTTTTAAACTGATTGTTAAGGTGTATATTCTTAATTAGTTAAATTGAAACTTAGAGTATTAGTTTTGAAATAATTGGATTAAATCAAATTTTACTGTTATGCTGAATAATTTTATTATTATTAAGATGATTAATAATAAGGATATTAAATTTATTATTAATAATGACTATTATTTTGATGAAATTATTATTATTTCTGTAAACTAACATCAGAAATCTATTGGTCTCTTTGAGATCCTACAGATGATCTCTTTTAATATTATTATGATATTCTAAGATTTTTACGTTTTAGTAATTCTTAAGCTATATTAAATTCTTCATCTGATGATTCATCTTGATAATTTTGATTTTATTGAAAACTATCAGATTAGACAGATGGATCTTTATTAAAATTATAATATTGATTATAATTTTATTTTAATTTGTTCTCAAGAGCCTTAAATTCTTCACAGAATCTAATGGTTTACTAATTTTATGGAGTTTTTATTATTTCTTATGGTTAAATCTATTCTTCTTTTTTAAAAAAGTTGGATGTATGTGAATTAATTGCAAAACTGTCAGTTTCTGTTTAAATTTATTTATCTGCTGAATTTTGATGTGGATTTTTGTGATTTCCTAAATCCATTGTTTATACTTCAATATGCTTTTTTTGATCATGTTTAGGTACATTTACAGGGGTATAATGTCTTGGAATCACTCTTTATTTGTCTTATTTGGTTTCAGGTTTAATTACTTTTCTTAAAGGAGAAATCTCCTATCTTTCTTAACTGTTTGATTCAAACTATAACTGTTTCAAACTGTTAGTAAATTCTTCAATTTCTGCTTTTAATTGTAAAATCTCACTCTTTTATTATTTTTGAGGAAGTATTGAAGGTGTTATTGGATTTTAAGAGACTTTAGAATTATTTTCTTTGTTTTCAATCTCATATTAAGTGAATGAGTCAAATTTATTCACTCTTGTAAGTAGCATCTATTCTTGAATTAATTATTCCTGTTATTATAACTTCTTTATAACTTCAAGAGATTCCTTGAATTTCTCTTCAGTCTATTTTTATTCCTTTTTAGCTGATTCAGAAAGTTATTTATATTTGCTTACTTACTTTTTGCATTCCTCTTCCTTTTTTCTTATTTACTCTTATAGCTTTTTATTTTCTTCTTATTCTTATGCTAATCTTTTTATTAGATCTCCTATTTTTGCCTTGTCTTCTTAACACAAATCCTTTATTGTTACAGAGGGACTTGTAGTACGATCAATATTCTTGTCATTTTCTTCATCAAATTGAAACTTAAGTGTGTTTTTAATCGAAGTCAATTTATTTTAATTTCCTTGTTGCTTAGTTTGAGCTATGCGAGTAGTTCTCATATTTAATTAATGTGAATTATTGTTAAAAAATTTCTAAAGACAAACCTTTTAGAAAAGCAACACTTTAATAAACATACTGAAAGAAAAAGAAAACGATTGGAGTACATTTATAAATCCATATTGGATCGTAAAGCCTATCTTTGTTTATCTCCTACTGAACAATACATTTTGAATGACAAAGTATTTGCATTAATTCTTATTTAAAAGTCATTAGATCATTCAAGATAAAAGTAGCGAATTTATGATTTCAAGACTCCTTTTGACAATGATAATTGTGCTGAAAAAAAAGAGAGATAAAAGGAAATGACACTAACCATGGCACTTTCATCAATGAAAAATAGTAATCAAATTTAGTAAAGAACAATGTCAAAAAAGAGACTAACCTTTTTAGAATCTATTGTATTTTCTCCAGATGGAACTATTAAAATTCTTTGGGATTTTTTATGTATGCTTCTAATATTTTATGAAATATTGTCTATCCCTTTTAGAATTAGTTTCGATTTCGAAATAAGTAATGATCTAAGTACATTTATCACTACTATTTTCTTACTTGATATTGCAATAACGTTATACTGCAGTTTGGATAAAAGGGACAATCAATTATAAATATTCAGTGATATGTAGATTGTATATAAAACTTTGGTTTTGGCTGGATTTAATTGCATCTTTCCCTTACGATATGGTATTAAACGAAAAAATCATAATTAGATTATAGAATCTGTATTAGTAACAGATACTGATGAAAATGATTAAAGTACAAAAAATGTTGAATCTTCTAAAACCTTACAATAAAGTGCTTAAATTTTAAGACTATTAAAATTCTTTAGATTTATTAAAATCATAAGATTACTTCGATTATCAAAATTAAAAGTGATTTTTGATAAAATTGAAGAACAATTACAAACATATACTACTATAAATACAATTGCCAGCTTTCTTAAATTAAGTTTTTTTGTATTATTTTGGTCGCATTGGTTAGGATGCATCATTCATTTTGTAGGAATGAATGAAGATCATAATCATAATTGATTAGTCATTGCTGGAATATATGATTCTCCAGTAGAAGTAAGATATGTAACATCAATTTACTGGGCTGTCACAACAATGATTACTGTTGGTTATGGAGACATATCACCTTAAACAACAACTGAGAGATTTTGTGGAATCTTCTTTTTATTGGTAGCTTGTGGAGTATTATCATTTACAATGAATTCTATAGGAAATACTATGTAATAAATGAGTTAAAAAAAAGATTAATAAAAAAAGAATATTGCTGAAATCAATAATTATATGCAAAAAGTAAAAATACCAAAACATCTATAACAAAGAGTAAGAAAAATATTTATAATATATATGGGATTCAAGTAGACTTATTAAATTAGATGTTATAACTATTAATTTATCTTAAGAATTGAAATAGTTACTAACTGTTCATGTTAATTGTAATATATTAGCTACATATACAAATTTCTGTAAAACTTTCTATTGTGTTCTCCTCTTAGATATTACTTAAATTTTATTTGAATAAACTGCACAACGAGATGAATATATAATTATTGAAGATAATCGAAAAAATTCACATCATTTAGACTTCATTTAAGATGGATTAATTAATATTGTATTACCTAAAACAAGATAAGTTGTAGCTAAATTACCTAATAAATAAATCTTTGGAGAAATCAATTTTTTTGGAAATGTAGGCAGAACTGCTTCCGTAAAAAGTGAAGGATTTAGTATTTTATTTATTCTTAAAAGAGATGATTTTTTATAAATATTATAAAAATATCCTAAAGATTTTGAAAAATTCAATTTAATTTAAGAAGAAGTTAATAAAAATTAATTTTAAGTACTTTAAATACATTATTTTGCTTGTGAATTACCAGGACATGTAGTAAGAGATTGTCCATAATTACATTTTATTGTAGATCTTTATGTGTATAATAAAACAAAAAATAGATGTATAAAATAAATAATGAAAGAATATATAAGGAAAGATAGAATAAATTTTAATGCTATTAAACATTAATATTTTATTAAGAAAGAAGCTTTAAGTATATAAACAGAAATTCCAATGATAAGATTTATTATAGAAGAACGCAATTTGGAAAATGCATAATTTAATACTATTCAATTTAAAAGTATTCCTTATTAAATTGCTTAGTAGTAGTATAAGTCATAGTAAAATTAATGAAAACTAAAGTTCAGATGAATAAAGTGATTCTTAAACAATTAAATAAAAATTGGATGAAATTATATTAGAATATCAAGTTTAAAAGAAAATTAAATTTAAGAGAATCTCTTTATTTAAATAAAAGCTACAGTAATAATTAAATTTAATTTATTAATATTAATATTCTAATATTCTAATATTTATCTATAAATAAAAAATATTTTTAATATTAAACTTTTATAAACTTACTCATAAATTGATCTTTTTGAATTTGGATTTGATTTTGAAATTTATAACACAGACAATAATTTGAATGTTTTTTTAATTGAAGTTTAAAAATATTATAATGGTACTCAAATTAAACCAAAAATAGATACTGAATATGAGTAAGACTCTTTTATTTTATAATAGTGTTAATGTGTTTGAAGAATATTTGAATTATTATGCAATCAATATGGAAGATATTAATAGATTTAAACTTGAAGTTAAGCCAGAAAGATTAAAACAATTTTTACCATATACTACATTAGTTGAAAATAAATAATCAAGACAAGTTTTTTTATTTTATTTATTATTATAGTTTAAATAAAATTAAGGACGCATTAAAAATCCATTAAGATAATCTGAAGTTAGTTCTTCTGAACATTATTCAAAAAAATGTAGATAAGTTGAAAATAGATTCATATATATTCAAAATTTTAATTTATTATAAAGATATAATATAAATTATAATAAATCTCGCTAAATCGAAAGAAATTATTTAAAAAACTAATATTTGTTGTAATGGTTTATTTAAATAAAAGTGGAAATTAGTTTGATCAATATAATTTTTCATTTTGATTCTTTCTTTATTTATGAATATCTTAATAAGATTTATTCTAAAAACATGAAGATGGTCTCTCAATATGAATTTGATTATAAAAATGAGGAGTAAATGTACACTTGCTTAACTCTTTTTCATCTTTATCATCTCTCATTTTCTTTAATTTTTATTGTTTTTTCTTTAGAAATAAATCATTTCTTTCTATTACTGACAAACCCACCCAATTCTTATAACATGCTTTCCCATCTGTCCTTTCACTCATTATATTACTTACAGATATTTCTTATCTTTTTATAAAAGGTTCTAGTTAAGCTAATGACTATGGTCTAATGAACTATTGTCTATAAGTAGGGGTTTTTGGGGTTTGTGTTTAAGTAGTAATTGTTTGTGATGGAATTTTGTATTCTTTTTTCTAGTTCTAAGATTAAGGAGAAGGAGGTTGAGGTTGCTTGACAAAAGCTCTTAAATTAACGAATATTTTCTTAGTGTTTGTATTAGTTTAGAATTGATCTCTGAAGTCAGGTTTCTTCTCCTTCTTTTGAGCCATCAAATAACTAAGACGTTCTAAATTGGCTTACAACGTTGAATCAATTGATACCAATTAATTCATTTTTTATATTAATATAATATGAATAGTCTTATATAATTTATTAATATATTTCATCTATTAATAAAACTAAATCTCAAAATTGCTTATAAAAATATATAAATATTCATATATTTATTTGAAATGATTTTTGCAAATATTTATTATTATTTTTTGAATTGTAGAACAAATATATATTTTTAAATGAATGACGAGGATTAAATTTAGTATTTTAATTATAAATATAGGTTCACTCAAAAATTCAAGTTCTATCTCTAAAGTATTTTAATTTTTTCAAATATCTCCTTTACTCATATATTTATAATATATGCTACCATAATAGTTCTTAATAATAAGCTATCCTAACATAATTGTTATGTAGAGCTACTTATAAAAAATTTTTGATATTTTTAAAATAATTTATTTTCTAGAATGTCCAACTATTTTTCATTTTTATTTGGCTTTCTAGAAAACATAATATAGTGCTAGGCAATAAAAAAATTCGTTATTAATGACATAAGAATATATAAAAACTATAATTTATAAAGTTAATTATACTATAACTAATTAAAGTGCAATTTTTGAATTGAACTTTAATCATAATTAAAAAGTATATATATAAAGATAATAACAAGTATGTGGGGATAACTAAAAAAAAAAATAATATTATACAGAAATTTAAGAAATTTAAGGAACATTCATTTTCTAAGAACAATATTTTCTTTCTATAAGATTATTAATATTATATTAGATGAAATGATCAAATTATGTAATTAAATTCATTAATTATTTAGGAGGTCTATAAGGAGCTTCACAGTTCGAATTTCTTTAAATAAGTGGGAATTTTTACATTATTTTGAGGTGAATCTAAACTTTTTTTATTTTTATTTGTCAGTTAGATTAAAGACTTTATATCTCTTTGAATGAAGCTTTTATCCAAATTATCTTAAATTAATCTATATATACTTATTTGTACAAATGTAAGAGAACTTCTTTTGGTAATTTTTTGATTGAAAATCGAAATCTAAGAGGAATATGACTGTTTAAGTGTTTAGATATTATAAAATTAATATGAATTATGCAAATATTAGAGGGAGTCGCTAATAAGAATAAAAAGAATTTTTCTATGAATTAATGGAATATATATGTGTATTTGTCTATCATCCTTCAATTAAGAAGAGACTAAAATTTGAAAGAAGAAGAATAAATTTAATGTTAAATATGTTTTGATTATATGAATTGATATCTTGATTTAGCTTTTTTGAAAAGTATTTAACTAAATTATGTAGTCTTAAGATAATGAGTTTAAATATTTATTAAAAATTTCAAAACTTATACTTATAAGTTATTTTTATTTTATGATTATATATATAAATACATTATATAATAATAAGATATTTTAATATTTTAAATATAAAATGAGAAGTATATAAGAAATAAGCAAAGAGATCCAAAAGTTGATAAGATTAATTGAAAAAAAAATACGATAGAACAAAAAAATAAATATCAAAAACTATTTGAAAAAATATAAAAAACTCTTAAAGGAAGTGAGAGAAATAGAAGAACACAAGTACTTAAGACTTTTGAATATTTGACATTATATATATTCTTATAAATACAACTAATTACTATATATGATGACAACATTTTTTAAATTTTACCAGAATACTTTTAGATAGTCTATTAAATATTGACTTGAAAATTAATAAATCATTCTGTTTATTTTCATTTTTAGAAAAGAAGTAATCAAAGAAGTAGATATTGGTAGATTTTGATTTAATAAATTTCAGATAATAATATAGATAATTTTGACAAAAGAAGACTATTTAAATCATAATTTTATTAAAAATCGTAATTAATAATAAAAATTTAATAATTAATTTTCATATTATTTTTATATTTCCACAAAGTAATTAAATAAAGAAATTATTGAATAATAAATCTACAAGACAAAAATTAAAATGAAATATCACCCACTAATATTTATTCTAAATTAGATTCAGTCAAATGTAAAATATATTCCTAATTTAAAAACTAAAATTTAATCAAATTTTCATTGATTTGTGTCTATAATTTTGAAGTTGCACTTTTACTTTTTATTATGAATAGTAATTTTGTAAACTAATGGAATAATATTTATTTTAAGGAACTGTCTTTAAAAATACTTCAAATTTACGAAATAGAATAATTATTAAAGAAAATTGAGAACACAGAATAATGTGAAAATGATAATTAACTTCAAATGTTATATTTAATCAAAATACTAATTCATTAATAAAAGAGGAACAGGGAATTTTATTTTTAATAAAAACTCTGATTGGATGAATAAGATTAATTAAATTTGACAGTAAATATTCATTGAAAAAGAAAGAGAATACACTTTTTATAACTGAATATCTACATGAATAAAAGTAAAGAGTTATTTTTTAATGAAATTCCTTAATATAATTGAGATTGCCTATTCCATATTCTAAAATATTTGAGTATAAGATATATTTTTATTTTTTAAAAGGATTTTATTAGAATCAACTATTCAAGAATATCAAGATTGTTAATATAAAAGGATTCATCTTCTTATTAAAATTGGAAGAAGAAAGTTTTAGGTATGCTACTATGTTTAAGGATATTAGAATGGATATTTAAGTGAATGATTAAGATTGTTATTAAAAAAAGAATGGGCATTAAAGAATTTTAGCATCCTTGTTTTATATGGATAAAATATTTTTAAGATTATATGTTTTAATCATTTGAATATAATATGTGAATAGGATTAGTAATATTTTAATAAAAAATTATATCCTCAAGTAATTAATTAGCTAACATTCTTATCCTATTGATATTTATTTTCAATTTAATAATATTTAAAATTTGCATGTTTTTCCCTGAATAAGAGTACAAGACAAGTACAAAAGTATGAAAGTGCATTCTATTATAGAGTGAAGATGAACTTAAGAAATTGACGTTGGAAGAGGATTTGAGTGAATGTTAAAGGTCGTATCAGATATTGACTAAGGGTCAATAATTATAAAAGAAGGCTGTAATATATAATGTTAATATTCAGATATATTAAAACTTGCATAGAATTTTAAAAGAACCAAATGCATTTGAGATTCTATTCAAAGTCATTGTGTATGATATATTCTATATTAAAGAGAGGAAATTTAACAATAAGAAGAGGATAATCAAATAATAGCAGCTAAATCTCTTCATAAATTGATTAAAGAGAAGACACTTTAAGTAACGGAGTTACTATAAATATATGATTTGACTACTTAAATTCTAAAAATTTGGTCATTACCTGTTTTGAATGAATGGATACATACTATGGATGCATTGCTTAGAGTTATCAGTCTCAATATAATTATAAATCCAGCATAATAATTGATACTTCTATTGACTGATGCTTCATAACCAACAATTTCTCGTTAAAGTGCTGCTAAACTAATAGGCACTTTGGCATAAGTAATTAGTTTTATAATGAAAAGCTCTTAGGAAATGAAATAAAAGGACCATTATTAGATAGAGCTAGAAATTTATGTTCAGATCATGATAAAGAAATAAGATTAGTAATGGCTGAAGATGTAATAGTGAAAGTGTGTTAATCATTATCTAGTGATCTTATAGAGTGTTATTTACTTGAAAAAATAATGGAATTGTATTATGATACAGATATTATTGTAAAGAGTTCAGGTATGAGATTATTCTTTACAATTGCTAATTAATTATCAGTAGATGAAATAAAAAATAGATGTACTAAATTATTTATAGATCAAATATAAAGTTAAAATGAGGAAAGTAAAATTGTAATGTCTAAGATGTGTGGTAGAGTTTATATGTTGGTAATTAAATATTATTAAATATTAGGTTAAAGATTATTTAAATATAAATTAAATATCTCTATTTCTCAATATTTATATTTCATATTCCAAAAGTAAGAATTTAGATGTGAGAACTAATTTTATTTTTAATTTTCCAGGAATACTCTCTTTGAGTTTAAAAAAGTTTGAATTTTTTCAAGAATAATATATGTTGTGTTGCAATGATAATAATGAAATACTTTAGAGATCTATTTTAAGTAGTTTACATGAAGTAGTACTTTTATCTGAAAATACTACTATTCTAATACAAGTTTTCATTAACTTTATGAAATCAAAATATCTAACAGTCTTACAATTATTAATAATGAGATTTACATAAATTGTCAATTCTTTTTAAAAACAAGTAGTTTGTTTATCTTATGCGTAGTCAGTAACAACCACTATTTGGTCAACCAGCCCTTGAATTACTAAATAATCTTATTGCTAAAAATCTATGGGATCTACAAATAGATTTATTATCAAAATTCTCAGAATGTCAATAAATATTTCCTGATATAACTATATTTCTAAATACTATGATAACAACCATAAATAAAGGAATCCCTAAAACTAAATAATTATGTTGTTTAAACATAGCTAAGTATTTAAGTAATTATGGAGATTTAAGAAAGAGAAAAGATTGGATAATTTAATTATTTGAACTTTATTTTAAATCAGATTGCTATTTTAATAGAATTATATTCATTGATATAGTTCAAGAATTCACTTAATTTATCTCTAGAAAATTATTCAAACAATATTAATTCTATGATGTATTAATATTTTCTAAAGATCCAATTCTTAATGTAAGAATGAGATTGATCAAGGTATTTTTTTAAAATATTAGAATTAGATTTTGCCAATACTATATAAAAAGATTGACTCTGAAGATGTACATACTTTAAATATGTTCAATGATGCTGTATAAGATTGTATTCTTAATGGATCTCGTTCTTTTTAATATATGATTCTATAAACTAAAGAAGAATTACTTAAACCAAGTGATGAAATATATTTAAATCAAAAAGATTAAGAAATGTTAGAAAATGAAGAATAAATATTTAAAAATGATTAAAAATAGCGATAATTATTATTAGATTAAGAGAGAGATGATTTAGAAATCAATAAAATAGATTTAAATGATTACTTGACCAAATACAAAAAAAAGTATCCACTTACTAAAATAAAAATTACTAATTCAACTATGCATAGTCAAACTATGTTAATTAAAAAACCTTAATTATAAAATAGTGGCACTTAAGCATTTCTAGTAAAGAAGTCTGTTGATTTTGATTCTAATAAGAGTCCACTCTTAGATGCTGCATCCTCTTTGAAAAAACCTGTTCTTAAATCAAAAACACCAACAACTAAGAGTATTTGTGATATTAAGAAGTAATTTAAACTTCCTAGTATTAAGAAATGAAAGAAAATAATATTATAGATTATTATTTTGAATTCCTAATTATATTTAGTTTTATCATGATTCCATCTTTTTTTCATTCTCAATCTCAGGAGCTGCTTCAAATTAATTAGCTGGCAAATTGCTATATTACTATTAAATCTCTAATTTATGTTTCTCAGCCTTTCTCTTTCCCCAAATTATAAAACCAATCGTCAGAGCCAAATATACACATGCTGATACTAAAGCTGTAGTTTCTGAATTAGTTTAATTCTTAACAGGATATCTATAAAATTCAATCTAATATTTCAATATAAGGAACAAGGACAACTATAATTATATGATATTTCATTACAAATAAAATGAAACCACATCCAAAAATGACAGTCCAGAAACGAATACAATCCATATTTATTATTAATATTAATGAACTGTTAAGAATATATTCGCTATTCTGATATTTTAGATGGAAAGTATGAAATTGATCAATTGGAATCTATTCATAGAACAGAGAAGTATCGATCAACAAGTTCAGTCTAAACAAATCATTATAAAGACTTAATATAAGACTTAATACAAGTATCATATTATAATCATTAAATAAGGCTCAAAGTAGATGTGCTGATAATATTAATCAACTAGGTTATATGCTAAATCAATAATCAAGTAAGAGACATACTTAATCTGATTTTTCAACTCCTAAACTTAATATGTCATAAGTCTCTCAGATTTCACAAATATAAACACCAAATAAGCCTATACAAAGTACTCCTGCTTCACCTTAATTATTAAATCAATTAAACAATGAGTATTCATTTTTATTAAGATTTAAGTAATCTGTTGGATCAAATTGATAAATTAATAAAGATTAGAAAATTAGATTAATCTATACTCTTAAGAATAATTAGAAAACATATGAATGATTGTCCATATTTTGTATAATTAGTCAAACAAGAATTTCGTAATAGTATTAATAGTTTATAGTGATTGATTATAAATATTAATGTACTTTAAAAATATTTAACATTAATTCTAGTTTATTATTTAACATATATTAATCATTATAGATCTACAAAACATAAATAAATTATTAATATATTAAATTATATAACATATAATAATATATAGTCATTATTAATCAATATGTATAAATATCTCATTTAATATACAATATAAGAATGTATGTTTTTTTATGTTAAAATTATAATTTCTATACATAATTCTAAGTAATTTTGAAAATATCAAATAAATATAGATATATTTTAATGGTGAAATGAAAATGATAAAATTGATTTTTTAGATTTTATATATTTATGTTAGTATAATGAAGAAAATATTATATAGGCAGTTAATTATATTTTGAAATCAAAAATGGGAACAACAGATTCAAAACCAATAACTAAGCTTTATGATCACTTCCGATAGATTAATGTTTATAACAATGGTATGTCGTAAAGTAGATGATCATAGACTTTCCTGAGTGTCAAATCCTATAACATAAGCGAGATCCTAATCAGAAGTTAATTCTTCGTACTTTAAACATAACAGATGAAGTTCACTTCAAGAAGGCTGTCCAATAATACCAAGTAAGACATAAGATCAATCATTAAAATGTACTTAATCTGAGCAATTACTTTTACTAATTTGAGTAATAACTTTGTGGACAATTCTATAAAGTATATTTACTATTTGAATATCCACCTGGAAATTTAGAATTAGTTCCAGCACTTAATGAAATATAATTAGTTTAGTATTTGAAATAAGCAATTTCAGGATTAGCATGTATGTAAAAAAATGAAATTCCTCATAATTCACTATAACTCAAATATTTATATCTAACTGATGACATAATCAAAGTAACAGATCCAATGTATTTTCAACATAGTACAAATTTTATGTATGTATTATAAAATCCAAATTGTTTGGAATGTATTTATTTATCTCCAATATTGGTGAAATCAATATAATTAAATAATTGGTAACCAAAACATAATGAATATAAGAGTGACATATTCACTTTGGGTATGCTCTTTCTACATTTAGCATTAAATTAACCAAGTTCAGATTGTTATTCATATGAATAAGGTTTATTAATTGAAGATGTTTTGAATAGTAAATTATAAAAATTGAAGATGAGATATGGATAATAATTTTGTGATTGGATAACTACAATGTTAATTATTAAAGAAGATTAAAGACCAGATTTTTTATAGATGGAATAATATATCACAAATTAATAATAAGTTATAAATAAATAATAATAATATATTCCTAATATCATATAAAGATAGATAATTCCAATTATTGAACCTACTTATTAATCTAATACTATATAAACAATACAATAACATACAACTATTTAACCTAGTTTAACATAAGTGAATAGTTTATAATAAATTTAATCAAGAAGAGTTTAATAAGTATAGAATATTTCACCATTAGAATATGTTCATCAATATTCAATTAAAACAGATACTTCATAAAGAAGTCTCACTCCTTTAGGTAAAATTTTAGTACCTTAATAATAACTAATAGTAAGAGATAATAGAGATAGTTCAGTACCAAGATTAAGAGGATCAAGAAATAGTAGTAAAGATGTTAATTAAACATTTACTTATGCTATTCCAACTATTCCAACAGATTTATCTATACTTAGTAATAAAAGTGGGTAACATTAATAAATTTATTTTCCTCCTAAACCTTTATCAAATAAAATGTCAAATACAAGAACTGCAATTTAATAATAATAATCAAGATTAAATTATACTACTTAATAAGTACAAGAATATTAATTCAATAGTTAAAAGAGTAGCAATATGTAAAAATAAATTACTCCAATTCAGGCTCTTTAACCTGATTAAGGTGATATTTTACATCTCAAATAACCTAGTGAAACTATAAGTAAATAATCTTAATTTGATGAAAATATTGATCCTCAACCAGATGAAGATATTGAATAAACAACATAAAGATAGGAATATTTTAAATTTTCAAAAATTCTTAGTGATTCAACCAATCTACCTTAATAAATAACTACAACTTAAACAAAAGAGTTTTCATTACCATATGATATTCCTTAATTCAAGGCTGATAGTGTCAATAGACCAGAATTTGTAGTTGAACATTATTCTAATGGATCTCGTTATGAGGGAATGAAAGCAAATGGGATGAGACATGGTTAAGGTAAGTTTTATTATTAAGATGGTGGATTATATGATGGAGGATGGAAAGAAAATAAAATGCATGGAGATGGTAATAAATCCATTAAATTATTTTTAGGAACATTATATTATGCAACAGGACAACCTGCCTATTAAGGTCAATGGAGTGAAGATTAATTTTAAGGTCATGGAACTCTATATAATGAACATCCATAACCATTATAAGAATCATTTGATTATAGAGATTTTGATAATGTTGAAGAGTATAATATAATTTAATATATTTTATAGTTATTGGATTAAATATAGTGGAAATTTTGATTAAGATAATAAAGAAGGTTAAGGAACACTTTATTTAACAAATGGAGAAAGATTTGTAGGTACTTTCTAAAAAGATTTTATAAATGGTCCAGGAATATTTTATTGTATGAATGGTAAAATAATGGATGGTAGATGGATAAATAACAAACTAGTTTATTGAATTATCTCATTAATTTTTTTGCATTAATAAGATTTGATTAATTATTTTTATTATTTCTATTTTCAAATTCTTTATATATTTAATATATTTTGAAAATTAAGGGAAATATAAAATTAAGTCTTCCCTTCATAAAACATTAAATATTGATTTATTTAATTTAATGCAAGACCCAGAACTTTATGTACGAAACTTCTAAGAAGAAATTAGCTAAAGAAATAAACGCAAATAGCCTTAGTAATATCCTGATGATCTACGATTACATGAAAGACCTAGAGTTAGAAAAATTGAACCTCCTTCTTAGATCATCAGTTAATCATTGCTAAAGAATCAAAGTTATGTGTATCATAATCTATATAATCTAGACCTGATTCTATTAAAAATTTTACGAAACCGCTTATCAATTATTAAATCATTAGTCCATCAGCAAAAAATCCATAGCGATATAATCACAATTTTTCGCATCTAGGGCAAGATAATATCTTTCGTAAAGAACCTTACAATTAAATTCAAAAAGATTATGCACCTTAAAGATATTCATAACAATCTAATGAATAAAGAATTAATTATTAAAATGTAGGCAATATGCTTATTGGTTATGATAATTAATCATAGTTACAATCCTAAACACTAGTATAAAATCAATAAATGACTTAATCATAATTGCAAAATTAATAAGCAGGACATGCATATCCTTAATCGCAACAAAATTATTAATACTAATAAGAATAATAATAGTAAAATTAATAATTACAATAATAATAAATGTATTCATAATAATAATAGCAATAACTTTCATAATCATAATTACCATAATAACAATTATATTAATTATAACCAAACTAATAATCATAACAATATTAGACATATTAATTACCATAACAAAATAATTAACCAAACTAACCTTAATAACTTAATATTTATTAGGCAGGAACACCAAATACCTACAAATTAAAAAGTGATCATAATCATTAGCCTTTCAATTATTACGGGTATATATATCTATATTCATTTTTATAGTTCAAGAGCTTTAAAAAACTTAGATAGTACATAAATTTATTGAATAATTTAAATTTATTATTAACAGTATCTTAGAAAAATTTATTATATTAATAAAATATTAATTTTTAAGCAATTCAATCTATTTAATTAATAGTTTTTTATTGATTCTAAATGATTATGTATGATACTACTACCTATACTATGATAATATTCATTATATATTTTTTTATATCAAAAAGAAATTTTAAATTATTACTTAAAGGACTTTAGTAATTAAATATAATATTATCTTAGGTTTTATCTTGTTGCAAGTTTACAAAATTATAAATGTCTTAAAATGCTATTATTCACATTTTTAAATTGCAATTACAAAATCTTTGTAGTTTTTGTATTTAAGAATTAAAAAAAACTTATTTAAAAATTATTTATGTGTTAATTTTAGATAGGATTATTTTACTATGCTAAATTTATTGATGTAGAAATTAAGTAGGAAGTTAGTAATTATGATATATGTATCAGTACTAAATAATCAATATTTATTTTTATTAAATAATGTTGCATAATCTTTCAACATCTCCTAGATGTCCTTTTAAATTTCCCACTGAGCATAGAAAATAAGATAGTAAAAGCATGACTTTTAGAGATTTTATTCAAATGCAATAAACCAAAGATGAGATGAAATTCTAATGTTCAGGACGATTGTCACCATTATAGGGCTCTCCTATAAACTCAAAAAAGGAAAGATGGGAAAAATAGTTAAGTACTCATTTACGCTAGAATCAATAGAATGAATTATTAATAAAGCATTCATCTTAATGTCAAATAGCAATGAAAGACTTTGTAAATAAAACAAAGAATTTTCGAAGTCAAGAATAATCTCCTATTAAAACAACATATCAATTACCAATGATAGGTGATTCACAAGATATTGTACTTCCAAATACTCCTGTTCATTTTAAATTTACTCCCGTATAACCAAAAAATAAGGCATCAAATTATGTTGGGTTAAGAAATGTACAAGATCAACTTGAACAATTAAAAAAACCTAAAATATAACTTAGTCATAGAGAAATTAAATAATAACCAATGACTTAGACAGAAATTATTAGTAAATTCTTTGAAACTAAATTTTAGAGGATAATAAAAACTTAGATAAAATAATATGGTAGTAATGAACTACTTGATTAACATTCAGAAACACTTTATTTACGTATTATTTAAGATAGATAATTAAAAATGAAATTCTAAGGAAAATCATTAAAGTATTTGAAGGATATTTATAAGAGTATTTTAGGAATTGGATACACTTAAGAGATATTACTTGATCCATTTAGAATGAGAAGTATACATGCACCTTTGTTTATAAAAAAGGAGTAATTTATTAGATTTAAGTATCTCTTTATAAACCAATTTATGGATATGGAGACTCCAGTTGAATTGTTATTTAAAGGATGTTATAAATTAGAAAATTTTAAACCATTAATATTAAATCAAAAATGTGATTTTGATATATTTGGTGGAGAATTTGGAATTAATGAAATTGCTAAAAATATGTATGAAAAGATCTTTAAAGACTATACCTTAAGTCCATATTTTAAGGCAATAGAATTAGAGGAATAAGCAATTAAATTTGCAAAATTATTTGCCCAATTAATAGATCATACTGAATCACCAAATTATACACTTGAAGTATTGAGAGAAAGACATGTTAAATACAAACTTACACATGTTTAATTGGCTAATTTTAAATTTTATTTATCTACAACACTTTAAAAATTAGGAATAAGATTTAAACATATTAGAATTTTATTAAGAAAAATGGATACTTATAAATTTGCTATATTAAATAAATAATCATTGTAAGAATGTATAAACAGTTTTCCTGGAGGTTATAGAGAGTTTATAGATAATTTTGTTCGTTTATGTACAAGTGAACCAATACTCTTTGATTTAATTTAAAAAAGGGGAAAATAAAGATTTACTGCACATTGTGAAAATGTTTTCCATTATTTTTTTAGAGATAATGTAAAGTCAATTACAAACAGTGATATTGAATCGATTCATAAAAATAAAAGTATAATTTCAGAAAAAGTCTTTATAAAATTTAAGGAAAAAGCCATTCAAGCAGTAAGCAAAGTAACTAATGATCCCATTTTATTAAGCGATTTTGAAGAGGATTGGGAAGAAATTACTCCTATTATTTTGAATAAATCTAGAAAAACTACAATTAAATAATTTGGAGGATAACTTGTTATAAATAGAATTGCATCTAAACTAGAAAATGAGATATTGTAAAGACCTTTATTACATAAAGTATTTGAGGTAAATAGTAAAAATAAATAAGGATAATGAATCATCTATGGGATAAAATTTAAAATGTAAACTAAATTTAATTCTATATGGACTACATTTTTATAAAAGAACAGATATTGAGGTTCTTCATAAACGATTAAGAATAAGAGAATAACCTTATTTCGAATTTTAATAAGTACCTATTAAGTTTTAAAAATTTTTATTTAGGCTATGAAAATAGTAATGCAAGATGAACCATAAAAATTATAATTTATTCTTGATGTAATAGATGATTACAAAAAACATATAGTTTTCGATTGATATAAATTTTATTATATTATGATATCTGACTCTTAAAAATCATTTAAGGATTTCGTTTAAAATTATGCAGTTAGATAATACAGAACGGTCAAAAAGAATTCTTAAAATATATATCAAGAATCTTAAAGAAGCAACTATGAATCATAAATATAAGGAATATAAATTGAATAAAATTTGAGTTATGCAATCACTAACAGACGAGTATCTAATGGAGATCCTTAAATGCATTTAAGATTCAAAGAAATATCCAGCACTAAAACAAGTAGATCAGAATTGCCACTCTTTACTATTAAATAATGGAATTAGAAAAAAAAACCTTTGTAAATAATTCGAAATTCCTAATTATTTAATGATGTAATTCGAAAAACTACTAATCAGAGCTCTTAATAACAATTGATACCTATAAAATCTTAAGATTAAATAATAAAAAGTTATCTTCATTAATTATCAATAAAACGTAAAGTGGCTCCAAAACCTTAAGGAACTGAAGATGTTCTTAATTTTGAAGTAGATTAAATATATTTTGATATAACTCGTAAAGATACTATGTTGTCCCCTAAATTTCCTAATAAAAATCACAATGGAATAAAATAAGTTTTTAGGAATTTATTGGCAACTGCTTATGATTAATAAATGTTTTTGGATTTAACTCGTTTAAGAGTAGTTCATATTGGTATGTAATTAACTCATGCTCATTTTTTTAAGTTTAAATATCACTTTTTGAATAGATTTATGTTATTAAACATTCCAACAGAAAAGATGTTTAATTCTTGTGAAAAAATTGAAAATATGAGACCTTATGTATTAAATGAAGTTTTAGAATATGAGATTTATGGAGGGGAAGAAGGTATTTAAGCAATAACAAAATCAATGTATAAAAAAATCTTATCTGATGTTACACTTGCTCCTTATTTTGAAAAAATTGATGTTGCTACTTAAGAAATCAAATTTGCAAGATTATTTTTTTAACTCATTTATCATTTAGATTCCCCAAATTATTCATGTGAAACTTTAAGAGAAAGACATGTTAAATATGCATTAACAAATGTCTAACTTACAAATTTTAAATATTATCTATCTTTAACTCTTTAAGAAGCAAACATTCCTTGGAAAAATATTAGATAATTATTACGTAGAATGGATATATATAAATATGCTATAATTAATAAGAAAGATCTCTAATATTATGTTAATTAAATGGGATTTCATTAATTTATTGACAATTTTGTTAATAGTTGTTAATAAGATACTATGCTATCAGATCTAATAAATCGTAGAGGAAAATAAAGATTTACAGCTCACTGTTGCAATATTTTTCATTATTTCTTTAGATATAATATAAAAGCTATTACAAGAGAAGATCTACATTTGATACATTCAAAAAAAGCAATAATAAATGAAAGGATATTTGAGAAACTTAAATAAAAAGCTATTCAAGAAGTGAAATTATTAACTAATGATACTTTAATAATAGAAGATTTCAAAGAAGATTGGGATGAAATTAAACCTATCATTCTAGGAGAAGCAAGAAATTAATTAATACTTAATCTAGGAGAAGATTATTTAATATAAAAAGCTCAATCAATTCTAGAATATGAATTTGCTCAAAGACATCTTAATTAAATATATGAGACAGAAGAAGCAAATATGAATTAAAGTATTTTGTGTAAACTTAATTTATTACTATATGGAGTAAGATTCTTTAAGAAATAAGATTTACAAATCATTCATAAAAGATTCAAAATTACTTACTCTTAATATTATGACTTTTAATAAAGTTTTAAAGTGGCTTTAGAAGATTATAAAATTTTAGATTATGTACATTAATTAATTGAAGAATATGAGTAATATATTGTCTCTGACTGAACTATTTCATTATTAATTATGTAATCATTTTTTATTTTCATATAAGAACTTTACTGCTAAATCTAAGGCTTATTTACCTATTGCTTAATTATAAATTTCTAATCTATCTTAGTTACAAAAGGCATCTCTTACTCCTGACCATATTTTCACTTATAAATTTAACTACTATGTATTTTATTCTAGTTTTTAACATCCATAAACATCCTAAACTGATGAGAATCCTACTATATAATCATTTTATTCAAATTATACTATTGCCATTTAATAATTTAAAAGTATTCAAATCACAAATTTCATAAGATGAGAGCATCTTAATTTATTTGATCTTAAAATATATAAAGACAATTCATATAAAATTCTATTATTCTAACCTTAAATATTTATTCTATCTCTTTCACTAAGACTTCTCAATTTAAACTAGTTAAAAGATAACTTTTTTTAATTTTTTTTAGTGCAATTCTTTTTTAAAAACAGAATATAAATTTTGATTTACTTATATTAAATAATAATAATAAATATTTTAAATTGAATTTTCATAAATTAATATATGATTAGTATCATAACATTCAGTACTTCTTTATTCCTTATTTTAGAATTTAATATCCACCATTATTTATAGGTTCTAATTTCTATGATTAAGATGATAGAGGTGTAGAAAAACCCTATGATTATGATACCATAAATTATGCATCTTGTTAAGCTATCTTTTATCTGTAATTAGCTAATTCTTTTGCATGTTAACTAATCATTTCTTTTATTCTCTATTCCAATTCAGTATTCTACTTTCTTAATTCATATAGTTCTTTTATTGTTGAATCATTGACCTAAGTTTAAGAATATGGTTATGATTTATCCTAGAATAGAATTTTCTCATATTTCTATTTATACTATTCATTATCCTTTTCTAATTAATTAATTCGATTTCTTTGCATTTCTAATACTTATCTCAAGGCATCTTCATTTTAAAAGCGTCTATGTAGTTTCATAATCAAATATACTCAGAAACTGAATTGCTTCTTCCATCTGCTGTTTTTACTCTTTTTGTTGAGATGATATTAGTAAATGTGTTTTTCATTTAAGTAAGTTATTATCTTTATAATTGATTTTCTTTTCTTAGTAATTCATTTTCTTGTTGAGTCAATTTCACTCTTTTCTAAAGAAATTATATTTCCTTATCTTTCTCCTTATTACTATTAGAATCCATATTTATTTTAATTAATAACTAATATTTAAATAACTAAATGAGAAATAATATTTTAAATCACTATAATATCCTGAATATACATAAAACCATATTTATATATAATCTTAAAATCATTAAAATATTTTCATTTAACTTAATTTTGATAATTTAGTTCGGTTTTCAGTTGAAAAAAAACGAGGAGATGCTTAAATAGAATTGCTCCGTTTTTCAAATTGTCGAATTTATCTTTATTATATAGGACATAAATCCTTTTTTCTATTCTCCAAGGTTTAAACCATATCTAAACATTATTAAATTAATTCAGTTCTTTTAAAATAACTACCATCTACTTAAACATCAGAAGGATTGTAACCTAAACAGGCAACTTTGAAAAATTGAAATAATTATATTGGTGATCCTGAACATGAAATGCAATTAGAATTTAATATTATTGAACTCTTTTTATTTCCTAAGTTTATTTAACTCTAAAAAATTTATTAAATAAACTACATTCTTAATCGAGAGAGCATTATCGATTTATATATCTTTTGCACCTAATAATTTTAGACCTTCTTTATCACATTCATCTTATTTTAATAAGCATAACAAATTTAAAGATAATCTTATCATATTTTATTAAAATTTTTTCAATAGATTTATTTCCTCATTCAATTTTCTATAATCACTCTTTTGAAATTCATTTTATACTTCATATAATGTTTATTATAAGTTAGTGATAGATAATTTCTAATTTAATGATTATTTTTATATATTTTATTCTATGCTTGCTTAAAATTAAATTTAAGATAAATAGAGTTCATCACTAAGTTATTTGATCTTTAATTTTAAAAAATCAATTTAATTACATTTTTCATCTATTTAAACATCAAAGTATTCTCTTAATTAACGCAACTATTCTTCAAAGTAAACTAAATTTGCTGATTATTTCCTTTTAGGAGGCTTTTCACTTTAAATTTCTATATGTTATATTTTTTTATTATCTTCTACAGATGAATCTTGATCATTATTATCAATATTTTTTATAGTTTCTTAAACCTTTTTGAATCTTTTAGAAGAATTCATTACTATTTCTTATTGCTAATTCATCAATTCTTAGATATTAAAATCATTACTAATCTTTAAAATACTTTTATCAAATTCATCCAATTTTTACTTTTCAAATGATGCATATTTATAAAAAAATTTTACTGGTAAACTAATAAAAAGAGAATCATTTATTTGCCTTTATACATGATATTGTTAATAATATAGTAAATATATTTCGATTGAACTTAGTCTATTCGATATTTCGTCAACTTATTATTATTTTATTTTAATATTTTTGATTTCTTCTTATTACATTTCATACTTTAAATTCATCTTGTCTTCGAACTATTCTTATTTTAATATTATCTAAATTTTTGTTAAATCATCTTTAATTTCATTTATTTTCATTGATTCAACCTATAATTTGTTTTCTTAATTGGAAATTTAATTTATCATTTTTCTTTAGCTTTAATCGATGTTTATCTGTTATTTTTTTAGTTCTAGTAATTATAAATTATTATTTTCATTTATCTTATCAATTGCTTATTCTAAGGAGGACTTAAATTATTAATTATTTGTCTTAACATCTTATAATTCTCTTTTTGATTCTATATATTATTTTTCTGCTTAAGAATTTAATGTAGAAAATGCTTAAATTTGATTTTTTATTAAATCGATCTGTTATTATTTTTCTTAAGATTGTGTGATACAAATTTTGAAATTATCAAATAATTTTTATTCTAACAATTCCAACTTTTACTTTAAATCATTATATTTAGGTTCAAAATTATCCTTTAAAGCTGAAACCTCATTAACTTATATTTTATATTTTTGTGACAAGTCTGTTAACAATGTCTAATTTTTATAAAAATTATTAATGTGAGGTTCCATAAGTCTTTATATGAGAGATGTTAGTTTATTTTCTAATTCAAAGTTGTCGAATTTATTCTAAACGTTTAACATCAGTATTTATGATATGAAAATTATATAATTTTTTTATAAATAGTTTGAACTCTCCAGTTACTCGATGCAAAATTATGTTTAATATATGTTTATGTTTAATTGTTCAACTTAACTTAACTTCCTTCATCCTATCCACTAAAATGAATCAATGAAAACTATAAAAATTGAGAATAAACCTTTATATCTAAATTTCAAAGCATAGTCCATCGTAACTCTTTTTCCATTATTGTAATATCCTTTTTCAAAAATTTCAATCTCCTTAACTAAGGAATTTCTAATTGATTTATTTTATTAAAGGAAAATTTCAGTTTTTGTACCTTCAAATAAGCGTTCACAATAGGCAAATGTATAAGTTTCATATGGCTCATAGCATAATTTGAAATCTCTGAAAATACAAGATTCTCAATGATAAAGTCTTTTATAGTATCTTAACCTAAAATTAAATGTGAATAAACCTTGAGCATTTATGATTTAGGATTAAAGATCTAATGTACTATTTTATTACTATCAATAAAAATGATTAACCAAAAAGATATTATGCCCTCCAACTTATAGTTCAAGCAGTTCTTACAAAACTCCAATCAATCAACCTTTAGAATAATAAATTCTCTATCTCAATAGTAAAATTTTGTTATTATAATTTTATCCTTATTTCAAGAAAGGATATCAAAAGTTTCTATTGCAATAGCACTACATTAATTATTAAAAGTGTGACTCATATTTGAAATCTATGCTAATAATTTACTTGTTCTATAAATAATTGAAGATATAAGTCTTATGATTTTGGATAAATTCATAGAAATACTATTTTATACTCTATATATATTATAAAATAAAAATGTTATAAAGAGTAGTAATTGAATAATAAATTAAGTGAAAAGATAATTTTAATGCTTGATCTTAACTAATAACTTTCCATTTATATATAGCTATAAAATATTAAATTTAAATTCCTGGACAATTAAATAAAATAATCTTTACATTTTAATTAATTGAGATTAGAATTAGTATCTTATCCCAATCCAAAAAAACAGGTTTTAGATCAGAATAGTTATAGTTATAGCAAATAAGATTTGAATAATTTTGATATTTGTTCTATGTATATGTAAATGAATCATTGTTAAACTTCAATCCATCCTCCTTCAACATTTCCACTCATTTAAATCAATGAAAACTATATTGATAATGTTAAATTTTTACATCAAAGTTTTGAATGCAAGCTTAATCTGAGGTATAAGTAACCTTCTTTCCATTGTAATCAGTGCTTTCATATAAAGTTACTCTTCCTTATGGTGGTACTCTAATAGATCTGATTTATGGTGGAATATTGTCCTTTTAGAAATCTGGAGATTTGGAACAGAATTCAAATGAAGCTCCCTTGTAATCACATTCACTATAGAAAATAGCACATGCTTCTTTTGGTTCATACCATAATTTGAAATCTCTGAAACCCCATGATTCTAAAAAATATATTATTAAAAAAAATACCATCAATAGCATCTTAATCTAAAGTAGATGTGAATACAACTTCAGCTTTTGGTGCTTAATGATTAAAGATTTAATCAACTCCTACAATACCATCAAACCAAACTCCTTATCCACAGAAGTTAGCACCTCCAGTTTAAAGATTCCATGAAGTCTTCCATACTTCAGTTCCATCAACCTTGATAATCATAAATTCTCCATCCCAAGAGTCAATTTTGTAGATTGTGGATTAAAGTCTAAGTCTTTTATGTGGTGGGACATCAAATGTTTTAGTAGCACTAGCACCAACTCCCATAATATCAAAACCTCCTACCATAGATTTTCCACCGCATTCATTAATTTATTTTCCTCCTTTGTTTTTATTAAGAACCCATCCATTGATTCCTGTAAATTTATCTTCCAAAAAGGATTATTCTAAAAGAATGAAGTTTGGTAAAGCTTAACATTTTCCTCCAACTAAAGCCCAATTATTAGCACATTCTAATTATGATAATTAATTATAATACTTTTGCAATCAGAATCTTTTGGTCCTGTACATTCAGCACAATTTTCAGAGCAGGATGCATAGAAGATGTATAAATCTCTCAAACCATATGATTCGTTATTTGGAGCTTCATCTAGGGTTGTAGTGAATTCAACTTTAGCTTAGTCACCAGTGTGATCAACATCAACTTCAGTTCTAGCAAATGTTGTTTTCCATTCAAAGACAGGACCTCCACAGATCTTACCAAAGTAACCTTCATGCCATTAGAATCTTCTTTCCCAAACTAATTTTCCGTCAACTTTGATTTAAGCTGCTTCATTATCCCAAGAGTCAATTTTAGCCCAAAGTACTTTAATCTTTAATTTGTAATGAGGTTTCACTTTTAAGACCTTACTTATAACACTTCTTGCACCAGTCTTATCAAAACCACCAAATAAGGCAACACCTATAAATTGATATATTATATAATAAACCTCCACAATTAGTAGCAGCATTTTATCCACCAGCAACATCCCAACCATCAGCACCTAATTAGTTTGCATCCAAAGATCCCCAACTATTAGAGAATGATTACCAGAATTAACAATTTTCAGGTTTATCATCAACTTAACAAGCTGAGCAACCTTCTGGACATCTTTCAACAGACAAAACAAAATCTCTTATAGCCCAAGATTCCTATTTTTATAAGATATATGAATTTACATTTTCAGCACCTTCATTCAAATTTGATGTGAATACTACTACAGCAGTTGCACCTGTATGTTTAATATTTAAGTTAAGATTAAGTGTCATTTCTTTCCAATCTCCACCTTATCCACATTTCTATCCATCACCTTCATTGTATTAGAACTTTCTTGACCATACAAGTTAATCATCTACGAAAATGTATCCTTCTTCATTATCCCATGAATCAATTCTAAATATTTATTATATATCTTACTTCCAGAATTAAACCTTCAAGTTTATTAAAGAGTGGGGTGGCAACTCAAATAATTTGCTTGCAACTGCCCTAGCACCAAATTTACCAAAGCCTCCAAACATTTTTGTACCACTACACTCAGTAACATGAGCTGGTCCACCAGCAACAACCCAACCTATAATATTATTAATTTAATTACCATCAGCATCATTAAATGCATTTCCTGTGAATGATTATGACACTACGACTGGCTCCCCTAACACCTAGATGGCACTACAAACCAATAACAATAAGATGACTGTTCTGTTTTTCATAAAATAAATATTAAAATATCTGAGTTCTCATAAATACTTAAAAAACGAATTTTATTTGATTAATTAAATTTTATACTTAAAATCAAATATTGACCAATATAAAATAGCAGTAATGAATTTAGTTTATAAGTTTCAATTAAAAAAAAATATTCAAATGTACTTAAGTTAATATATAAATTATTTTGAGTTGTAATTAAAAGTTTATTCTTAGTTGCAATTCTTTTATTTTAATATGACTTAATCTTTATTCATTTTTCTTTTATCAAAATTTAACTATAACGCAAACTTATATAATTTCTAATCTATTTTTTGCATACTTCTATAAAAAGATTTAATATTAAATTACAAACCAATGATTATTAATTTTAGAATCTTGTCATTCAAAGTTTTTTTCTTTCAAAAGAACTCTTGATTAAGTGTTTAAAAATATATATGACAAATAATTAATATCTTTGTTACATTAGACTTTCCAAAAAATATTAAATAATTTACTTAGATCAAATATTAAATGATAATCATATTTTTTTATTTTCTATAAGCAAAGATAAAAAATTGATGAAATTGAAGCTAAATTTAAAATAATGAATACAAGTAAGAAGTAAATACTTTAATAATAAATTTGAATTAAAAATAATGGCATAAAAACAACACATTATATAATTTAATTTAAAGGTTGTAATCAAATATAAATCAAAATTATGTAAAATTGATTTACATAATATAATAAAAAGGGTTTTTAAATTTAAATAGAGGTGAAATATTCTGAAAATTATTTGTCTAACATTTATTTTAATAAAAAAAAAAATTCAACTTTGTTATTATAAAATTTAAACTATTCAAATTAAAAGAAAGTATTTTTAGTATAAAGTCTTTATAATTCTTTTAGTAAAAGTTTGAAATCGAAAAGTTGCAAATTCAAAAAAAAATATTATTGTTATTATAATGATAATTGAATTGAAAAAGCAAGACTTTTTGTTTAAGTATTAAGGTTAGTCTATCAGATCAATTTTGGATTCATTTGAAATCTCAATTTTCACTTGCATTATTAAATTTGTGAAAGATTGAAAAATGATTATGGGGTTAGAATTGAAGATTAAAGATGATAGGAAATATTACTTTCTGAATGTATGTCCTATATTATTAAATGAATTAGAAATAATTAAAAATCTATATTTTATATAATTAAAAACTGTAGTAGGATTCTAATAATTAAAAAAAACAATAAATCACAAAATTATAGATATCAATTTTATTAAAATATAGATGAGAAGTCTGAAGAAATCTAGAAATTTATTATTGAACCTTTATATAATGAATAAAGAAAATTGAAGTAATATATGAATATAATTTATGCTATTTATTAAATTTAACTAATTGTTTTTATTTCAATTGATCCATAATTCTATTGTTAAAACAAAATAATCAATAAAGGAAAATTTTAGGAGATTGAGGATGCAAATACCTCAAAAATTAAAAATATAATACCTTAAAAATTTAGTTTGAATTATAATTATTAATATTGAAATAAATTTTTAAATTACTCTAAAATAATATATTTAAAAAATTGAATTTGATATTTGGAGAATTTATTATATTTCAAATAATCATATACAAGATAGAGTCACTTAATAACAATTATTTATAACCTCTAAATGAGTAACAATTACCTGAAGAGTGATTATTTACATTTTAAAATTTGACAAAATTGTTTAATAAAACTTCAAATTTCTATATTTTATAAAAAAATCATATATATGTATTGTTTTTTAATAATATTTATTACCTAAGAATTAAAATT